CTCGTCGCTAGGCCATCGCCGCCCCAGCATCCTGTCGACGCCACCTCGGCATCCTGTCACCGCCGCCACTCCGCCTTCTCATCGCTTCGGTCACGCCAACGGTGAGACCGCCTCATCCTACATCTCTGTGCCTCCCGCTAGGGTTTCGGATTTCTTGATCCGCTCTTCTCACAGACTGTCCCGCTAGGGCGGTGAGGTGGTCGTGGTTGATTAGGGCTTCGGCGTCGAGCAACACGACATGGGAACCGGAAGTTGGGCACTCTAGGGAGCAGGGTGCGAGATATGAGGGCGCTCGTCGCCTCTATGTTTTCTGTTGTCGCTTCGGTAAGGACTCCCTGTACCTCCCTCTCTGGGTATTTTATTTTGGGTTATTTGGGTTCATGCCATTATAATTTTTTATGTTTGGAGAAACATCATTACTATTTACCTATTTTGAAGTATGACATGACAATTCTTCGTTTCCCGCAAATATGCCACATAATACGTATGGACACGGCCTGGCCCAGCTGCAGGCGTATACGAAAACGTATACTTCATCGCAGCCTCTCTCCCCTGTCACTGACAACGCGGGCCGCGCATGTCATCTTCTTGTTCCTCCTCTCCTCATCTTCCCTTGCTGAGCGCGTCGATGGCGATGGCGAGCGGCAGCACGCGCCCAAGCGGAGCTCGTGGCCTGGGCGGCTCGCGCCTCGATGCCGGCGCGCCGCTCCTGCTCGTGGAGCCCACCCGCCCACAGCAGCCGCTCGCGCTCACGAGCCCGGCCTCCCGCACCGACGCCATGGCCCGCGGCCCCTCGCGCCTAGCTGCCGGTGCTGCCGCTCCTGCTCATGAGCCTGACCGCTCGTTGTAGCCGCTCGCGCGCCTGGCCTCCCGCGATGCCATGGCCGGAGGGAGCTCCGGCTAGGCCTCTCCTCGACGCCGGAAACCATGGCCCGCGGCCGCTCGCGCTTTCCACCGGTGCCGCTGCTCCCGCTCGCAAGCTCGGACACCCGCTACAGTAGCTCTCCCTCATGCTCACGAGCCCGGCCTCCCGCACCGACGCCATGGCCGGCGGGAGCTCCGGCCAGGCCTCTCCCATACACCGGCAGACTTGCCCGTGGCCGCTCGCGCCTCGCCACCGGCGCCCCCGCTCCCGCTGCGCGCTCGGACGCCCGCTGCAGCAGCTCATCCTCACGCTCGTGAGCCCGACCGCGTGCTCCGTGCGCCGCCCAGTTCGCCCGCTCCACGCCGGCCGAGCTCCCGCGCTCGCGCCTCCGCGACGCCCGCCCAAAGCATGAGCTCTGCTCACCCACGTCTTCTTCTTCATTGCTACTTCTCATCATCGCCATCGACGCTACGGCAGGGGAGATGAGGAGAGAGAAGGAAGAAGAAGATGACATGTGGGGCCCATGTGTCGATGATGATGGAGAGAGCTATATGATGAAGTATCGTCTTCAGATATCGCTGCAATGGGCCTGAGCCATGTCCATACGTATTCTATGGCATATTTGTGGGAAACAAAAAATTATAATGGCATGCTTTAGAATAGACAAATAGTAATGATGTTTCTCCAAACATCGAAAATTATAATGGCATTAATTCAAATAACCCTTTTATTTTTGTGCATTTGCATTGCGGGATTGGTTAGTGTCAGCACGAGATGGCAGTTGCTGTGGAGGGGAGATTGTAATTGCTGTGGGGAGGAGGGATATAATATATTAGCCTAGTAGATAAATTAGCCTAGCATGGAGCTGTTGAATTATACATTGGATGTTCTTTCTTGCCTGCTGGAGCTCTTGCGACAAAATCTATGTTGCTATTTAAATTGCATTCACTCCTGACTCAGAGTTACTTGAATAGATGTTCCTGAGTCCTGACCACTTTAGGTTTGTCCTAAATTAAACTTCTTTATATTTAACAAAGTTTATTGAAAAAAATACACTAGCATATATAATATTGATTTTCACCATTAATTATGTCTTGATAGTGGTGCATATATTTGTTGCTCTAGATGTTAATATATTTTTACTAAAAACTGAGCTAGGCAAACTTGACCCTATGGTTTGGAAAAGAGGGAGTAGCGCAATTAAACCTGCAAAGCCAACACCGTACCTAGGTTCTGAATTTAAAGGATCTGAAGGATTATTGTCTACTTTGTGCCATGTTTGTTAACTTTTACTCTCGTTGACACTGGTGTGCTGGTACTAAGTTGGAAGCGTAATTAGACCGGTTGTCAATGTCAGCAAATTCATTATGACTCTTGGTTATGATTTTCTTTAGCACCTACTGGTGCATCGTTTCTGCTTTTCTGATGAAGCTAGGCTCAAAACCGTGCATTGAGGTGCACATAGCTCAGTTCTCAAGTGCATACGACTCTAGCCAGTTACCGTTGGGGGTACATGAACATGAACCTGGTTGCAATGTAGGACAAATGCCTTTAGCCTGGCACCATCCTGTCTAAAATGTGACAGATAGTATTATCTGAAGCAGTTCGTCTATGTACGAATGCATGATAGGTATCGCCTACACGGCACGAGATCTTAAGCAGAGTGTGCCTTTTTAATTTGATGGCAGCGTGGGATCATAAGCAGAGTTTGTTTTTTAATTTCAGTGGCGTCCATACTCGTCAATCACTCAATCTAATAATCTGCGTGCTAAATCTCAGACAAGTGCTTGCTAAATCTCTCCGATTAATAAGGGCATGATGCTTTTGCAGGAGTGATTTTCTGTTGCATCTTGGGACGAGGTGACACTGGTGTCTAGTTAGTTCCCCCCACTGTTGCCTGCTGCATCTGTTGTTTTTTTGCTCTTTGCTGGTGTACAATGATTCCTGCTGCATTAGAACTAATGAAATTTCCTAGATACTCTTCTGGATTTCTCACTAGTAGTTTTTTTCCTGCTTTCTAGTCTATCTGTATGGCTATATCTTGAAGTGTTCCTCTCACTATATTGTTCTCTTTAGTATTTTTGAGTAATAAGTTAAAAAGATTAATGCAAGTTTTTTCATCAGATGGTCTGAGAAAAATCTAAGCTTTCCTCACAATAGCTCTAGGTTGTTAACTTATGATAGTCCCTGACTTTTATTTTGTCTGAACTGCAGCTCGATTCTAGTCCTATATTCTGTTTTAGTTCAGAGCAAGCAGCCTACTATTGTCCGTTCAGCAATAGCTTGTTCTGCACAACTGAACTTCCTTTTTTTTGTTCTGCTCTGAATTCTTGACAGCAACCTGGTGCTCATCTGCTACTGTGTTTGTGTTATCATGGAACGTTAGCGCATTTGTGTTCATGTAAGCTAGTACTGATAGGCCCCTCTCGGGCTTCTAGGCTTCTGGTGTCTAAATATATATATATATACCGACCAGTTTAGTTTTGTGGATGCATGTGTTCATATTAGTTTACTCTGATAAGTGATAACACTGTAAAACTGTGTTTAGTTATATTTTGGCTGTGCTAATGGCTTTCCTTATGTTAACTGCAGAGCTCTGGGTCAAAGCAATGCACGATTTGAGAAGCCTTTGTGTCACTAATCTCTCTGTTTGGGTTTTGATATATCTGAATGTATGGAGATGAACATACGTCCATCTGTAATCTTCTGGATGTTTTAAGTGCCTATATGAGAAGCTTCTTGAAAGGAAAAGCCATGATTTTTAGTGTCAAAGTTCTTTTTAAAGAGGTTCATTACGATTTATTTTGGATTATCTGTCTCGATGTGTTGACAGAGATGAATGACTGTTTATGATGTGGTGATGATGTATTAGCTTGTTCCGATTAGGTTTAGCATTTTGCATTTTATTTTATATATGTATCATATCTTACCTTGTGGATATCTAAAATAGACTTTGATCAGTCTGTGCGTAACTTAATAACTTTCCGGAACATGCCTTCCAAATAGCAGCAGAAAAACTTCCCCACACGTGAAATCTCCCCCACGTGATTGGAGGGGCATTGCATTGTCCACAAAAATCCCTCCACTCCGATTACTTCCCAGGGTTAATTACCCTATCGCTGCCAAAGTAGCCCTTAGACTTTGCGTATCCTCACCGCATGCGTGCTCGCCTATAGGTTTGGGTCTCGGCCAAAGTCGGGCTGCAGGAGCTTGGGCCAACACTAGTGATCCTCATCGTGTGGACGTTATGGATTGGGAGTTTTTTTAAACCGTAAAGGCCTGAAAGAAATGACTGAAAGTGGAGCTGTTGAGTCAATTCAACAACATTTTCTTGTTACGAAGATAAGGGATCGTGTGAATGTGAACTGTAACTATATTATTTTCTCCGTTTTAAATTATACATCAAGTTTTGCTTTAAGTCAACTTAGTCTATCTTTGGCTAGATGTACAAGTGTACTCCCTTCGTCCCTATTCAATTGACGCCGTGAGATTCATGTTAGCCAAAATTTTCAAGTTTGATTAAGTTTATAGAAAATATTAGCAATATTTGTATATCTAAATAAATTTATTATAAAAATAAATTCAACAATATATGCAATGATACTAATTATATACTAATAAATATTAATATTTTATTTTATATATCTAGTCAAAGTCAAGTATATTTGACTTCTTCGTAAGTAAGAACGATAGATAAACAGAGGGAGTACATCAACATCTAGCACATTGATAATACATTTATTTAGTTTTATAAATGTTAATGTATTTGTATATAGATTTGGTTAAAATTATAAAAAAATCACTTTATAACATAAGGGCACATGTTTCGGACGTTAATATTTTATTAATCGGACGGCTATGATTTTCAGCGAAATATCTCAAGGAAACTTTATAGTAGTTGGGACATATAAGGGCACATGTTTCGCCCGCTGGCTCACTAGGCAGACCGGCGGGCCCCACGAGTCAGAGACGAAGATGCCACTCACCACCAATTCACCAAACCAACCTAAGTTTCAGCTCTTTTCTTCACCAGAAGACCAGACCTGCTCACGCCTCACCAAACTCCGCCGCCGCCCCGCTGCCTCCAGTCTCAAAGACCTTGGCAATCTCCGCCCCGCAAACCCTAGCCGCTGCCATGGCCTATCTTGCTCCCGCGGCCGCCGCCTCTTCCCTCCGCACCCCCATCTACCTAACCGCCTCTTCCCGGCGCCGCTCCTTTCTCCCCGCCGCCGTCAAAGCCACCGCCAGTTCTGGACACCCCATCCTCTCCTCCCTCCGCATGGCCGCCTCCGCCGCCGTCCTCCTCGCCGCCACCTCCCCGGCACTCGCGTGCACCCCCTCCGCGCCCCCACCCCCGCCCACTCCCCTGACAGTCACGGTGTCCCCCGACGACGCCATCCCAGACGCAGACGCCTCCGAGTCCCACCCCTTCGAGAAGCTCATCATCGAGACCGCCTGCCTCGCGCGCATCGGCGGCGCGGGCGAGGCGCGCTCGCGCCTGGCCGCGGCCGGATGTGGAGAGATCTACGGCCGCCTCCTGGCCGCTCAGGTTCTGTTCGTGGACGGGAAGGTGGACGAGGCGATCGCAGCCTTCGAGGAGCTTGCGCGGGAGGACCCCGCTGACTACCGCCCGCTGTTCTGTCAGGGCGTGCTGTACCTCGTCCTTGGCAGGGAGGTGGAATCCGAGTCCATGCTCGAGCGATGCCGCGAGGTCGGCGGCGACGCGCTAATCGTAGATCCGGCAATGATGGTGACGCCGACCGTGGGGGCGGAATCCAGTGAGGAGAAGCCAGAGCCAGAGCCTGAGCCGGAGCCAGCGAAGGTGTGACTTGTAACTCTGTACCGTATGATCCCAGAATAAGGTAACACTAGCATTTTGGTAACCATAGAGGGATACGAATGAGAGGGAAATTTCAGACCATGTTCCGGTGATACGAATTAGCTGGAGGAAAATTTTGAAACGAAGTTCCTGATTCTTTAGGATGTGATGGCTAAAGATGTCCGTTTCACATGGCCTACTAATAAAAATTTGAGAAGGTAGTGGCTTTCATTCGTGATGATTAGCACTTCTATTTGATTCATATTCACATCCATTGAAGCTTTATATATCCTCAGATTGGTCATTCTGCTGATGGTTACTTATTTCAGTGTCATGATGAATTTGATAAAAAAAATACTAACCAGGCAATATATAGCATGTTTATGTTCCGATAGTGAGCAATGTGCATGGACTTGTCTCACACATGGCTGAAAACTGAATTAAAGTTCTTTACCTTGAGAAACCTGAGCAGTGTGTATCTGTAACTGGAAGGCCCCGGCCTACTCGAAGATGATGTTCGCGATCTGATTGGCAAGTTTGGTCATGAAATGCGCACAGAAATCAGAATTACTCGACTGGGCAAGGCCATGGCCATGGTACCAAATGCTAACTATTTGCTTTAGGTGAAATAATTTGTGTTTTTAGTGTAATCATACTGATTGAGGAGATATCTCAAGATCGTTACGGATGAACCATCAAAAAGGGACATTTTGGTGTTGAATGTCTCCTGACACAGCAGGAAATTTCTATTTGCCGATCAAGTCATTTTTCAATATATCTCCCATCTCCTACGACTAAAAAGACTAAAAGTAAAAGTATTTCTTAGTGTGGACTTTTTTTTTAGGGTCGCTCCTCCCTTCCGGTCATGCGATATCCCGCGCGATAGAAAAAGAAACTGCCATCCCTACGATCTCCGCCTGCTTTGAAGAAAATAAATCGATCACCTGAGGCCACATGCATAGAAGAAAACAATAACCATGCATGGAAGGAAATAATTGGCAAAGATCAAGTAAGACTCCTCCCTTTCTGTCATACGATACCCCGCGCGATAGAAAAAGAAACTGTCATCCCTGCCTATTTTGAAGAAAATAAATTGATCACCTAAGGCCATATGTATGGAAGAAAACAATAATCATGCATGGAAGAAAACAATTGGCAAAGATCAAGCAAGACGACTCAATGAGGTGACCCTTAATTTTAGTGTTTCTAGCATGCAGACCTGAAATTAAAAAATGGCTGCTCCTTGAGAACATCAGTGGTGCCAAATAAAAGATGTGCAAGTTATACATGGTAAGACTGGTGAACCTTCTGTAATTTCTTAAACGAATATTCCCACCATTCGTATATAGGTTCATTTTCCTGCGTTTTTTCATGCTCCAATTAGCATATAATATGAAAGTATTGTTGTATTCATCACGACTTCCAGTTGACTACTCCAATTAGCATATACTTCATCTGCTCCAAAATATAAGTCGTTATGGGATATGTGCAAGTCAAACTTTCTCATCTTTGACTAGGTTTATAAAAAATACGTGCAATATTTAATAATCCATTGGTCGACTCCTGAGGCCACATGCATATAAAAAATGCCTGTATTATAATTGGTCGAAGTTAAAAAAAAGTTGACTTCTTGGGAAGCGAGAATAAATTCTATTTTGAGACAGAGGGAGTATATGAAAGCAGTGTTGAAAATATTTTAACAATCAAGTTCATCTCTGTCTGATAGGTAAGCTTAGACATCATAACAGTATCAAAAATTTCGACTCTCATGGACACCCTCTTAGATCAGTGCAAAGTATTACAGTCCTACAACATACACAAATGGCAATCTTAAACATCATCTTAGACGTTCTGGCATTAGAATATATACGTGCAGACACATAAGCATGGTGGTGCAAGTGAGCAACCAGCAGGAGTCGAGAGTTAGGGGGTGTTTGGATCCCAGGACTGAACTTTAGTCCCTGTCATATTAAATTTTTAGATATCAATTAAGAGGACTAAATATGAGCTAATTATAAAACTAATTACATAAGTTGTGGCTAATTCGCTTGCTAGCGTCGTGTACAGGATGATATGGAGATGTGGTGGAACTTATTCGTGAATTTGTTGGCACACGAAAGAAATGGATATCAGAAATCTCTTACTGCCAGTATAAAAAATAATCTTAGCCGCATCACGAAAAGATCTACACAATAGAGTTTGTGAGCCTGCGACGCCATGCTCTCTGTGACTGTGTAAATTTCACGAACTTAGCTTTTTGGATTAAATATCACTTTAACGTCGGTTATACTTTTACAGTATTATTATCTTATCGTGCGATCCATGTGTTTTTAGTACAAAAAATTAGCTGTCCCGTAGCAACGCACGGGCACGAACCTATTCACATATATACGCGAACCTGGGTGTACATGATTATATGGAGATATAGTAGAACTTATTCATGAATTTATTGGCGCATGAAAGAAATGGATATCGTAGAATTCTTTCTGCCGATGTAAAATATTATCTTAGCCGTATCACGAAAAAGTCTATACAGTAGAGTTTGTGAGCTGCGACGTCGCGCTCTCAGTGACTATGTTAATTTCACGAACTTTGCTTTTTGAATTAAATGTCACTTTGACGTCAGTATTTAATTTAACAGTATTGTTATCTTATCGTGCGATCCGTGTATTTTTAGTACAAAAGATTTAGTTATCCCGTAGCAACGCACGAATACGCTACCTAGTAACATGAAAAAGAAAGGGATGTTAACGCACTACTCCCTCCGTCCTAAAGGAGTGTCGTTACGGGTTTTTTGACTGTTTATAAAAAAATATTAATAATATTTATATCTCTAAATAAGTTTATTATTAAAATATATTTAACGATTTTTTTAGAATTACACAGTACAACGTAGACGTCCATAACATGAACGCACACTTATTCCTATGAACACGTACGGAAACCTTACTGCTGTAAACACCTTTGAAGGATTGAGTCGACAGATCTCAAGATTCACGAAGTCACCACAAGTGCCTCGTTATCGACAGGGACATCGCCTACTAGTGAAAGCATAGCGCCGTTAAATTCTGAAATAAATCCAAAAAAATGCGAGTACTCGTGCCAAGTTGAGGACTTGAATCCGGGTGGACAGGTTCCACCACAAGGAACCCAACCTTAATGATACTAATTATAGTTATGCCCTCCATCCTTGTCGCGTGCCTCCGACCTACCTCTGCCCTCCGCCTGCAACGCTAGAGTTCGCCCATGCTGGTTGAAAGCATCTAGGCCCCCAGTTGGGTTTCGGTGATTAATGACAATATATGATTACTGTGACTAGCTTGTGTTTTGCAGAGGCAATTAAGTTAGGTCACGGTAATAGAGATCGATTGGGCAATCATGGTGGTCATGCTCCTACGATGGAAATCGTTTTGGTTTTCAAAGGATGGACGACAAGGTTAAGGATGAACTAGTTCTAAGTATCGTTTGGTGTTGAAGAGACACTTAGAGTATTTTAGAACTTTGTTTTTTCTTTGGCCGTACTATTATGGGGGGTATGGACGGGTAGCTTGACTTAGGTGAGTCTAGTGAGTTAGGTGTGGTACACACTTATTAAATCTAGCACTAGGTAGCTCCTAAAAAGCCCTTAGATCTATTGGAGCAAACTTCATTCACGCATGATCGAGAGTTGGAAATGAATGGAGGGTCAAATGTTGACCGGACGCTGGTTCCGGAATGACCGAACGCTGGCTCAGAGTCCGGTCAATTCATTTGATCAAGGTGAAGTCGTTTGGAAGTGACCGGACGCTGAAGGCCAGCGTCCGGTCGACTCTAGTAAGGTTCTAGAGAGAGAAAATCATGACCGGACGCGTTCGGTCGGTCACCGGACGCTGTCCAGCGTCCGGTCACAACTTAAACACTAGACTTCAGGGTGAACTGATCGGAGCGTCCGGTCACCCCGTAGAAGCACATAACGGTTCATTTTTCAGCCGGGTTTATAAATACTTCCTCCATTCGTGTGTGGGGGTACTTTTGCTTATTTCAACAGCTGAGAAACACATTTGAGAGTGCCAAGAAGAGTAAGGTCCTAGTGGGGTGATTGAGATTTGAGAATCCCAAAGAGAGCCCTCATTAGTGAAAGCAGAAGTAGCAAAGTGTGCATCCACCCTTCTCATTAGGCTTGTCGTGGTCAAGTGAGAGTTCGTGCTTGTTACTCTTGGTGATCGCCATCACCTAGATGGCTTGGTGGTGATTGGGAGCTTGGTGATCATCCGACGGAGCTTGTGGATGACCCAATTCAAGTTGTGAGCGGTTGTGGGTGATTCACCGCGACAGAGTGTCAAAGAATCAACCCGTAGAGAGCACTTGATCCTTGCGCGGATCAAGGGGGAGCTACACCCTTGCGCGGGTGCTTCAACGAGGACTAGTGGGGAGTGGCGACTCTCCGATACCTCGGCAAAACATCGTCGCGTTCGTCCTTCTCTCTTTACTTTGAGCATTTACTTTGAGCAATTCAATTCTTGTCTTTACATTCATAGAATTACCATGCTAGAGTAGGATTGAAACTTAGGTTGCAAGACTTTTTGTGCGGTAGAACATTAGAAATATTTTTTAGGCACAAGGGGTTAATTGGGCTAACGTAGGGTTTAATTATTGCAAAGAAATTTAGAATTAGTCCAATTCACCCCCTCTTGGGCATCTTGATCCTTTCACCGGCCACCGTGATCCTTTGCCTTTGCCGCGCGTGAGTCCGGCATCAGCCCGCCCACGCCATACTCTGCCTCGTCACGCGTAGGTCTAGCGTCGCCGGAGTCCTTCCCCACTGTCGCCGATGTCCTCCCCCACCGTCACTAGAGCTTATCGTGGTCTTCCCTCACCAGGCACGGATTTGGCCTACGTCGTCAGAGATCGCCCCAACTCTGTCGTTGGAGACTGTACAAGGGCATCGGTGTCCGCCGGGAGCCGCGCCGCCGGTGTTCGCCCCTCTACGCGCCTCCGTCCACGACGCCGCAGTCCTCCCCAGCCGCCGCACATGACGGCTGCCTTCCCGTGCGGGGAATACTCTTCGAGGGAAGAAGCAAAGACGGAGAAGGGAGAGAGAGGATGAGTGGAGCCCGTAGATGTCCTTGTTTTCTGAGCGAGACTAGCGTGGGATGAGGAGATAGTCTCTTCTCTTTCTTCCACATAATCAAAATGATATGGATTCCTATGAGCTAACTGAGGTGGCATTGTTGGAGACGCCCTAATCCGTTGAGTGAGAAAAAGCCATGGCTATAGCTTTAGTTGTGGCATTGTCTTCCCCGCTGTCCTCGAAAGTCCTCTCCTTAACCGCCCCCAACCATCTCTTCCACCACCAGTGGCTGCCATCTTGATCCCACCCTACCTAATCATAGACACCTCTGTCACTAAGGCTCGTGACACCACCGCCGCTAACCTTGTTCACTGCCCTATTGATACTTGTAGCTTAGATGGTGGTCTTGCGGCATCGCCATGTCATGACCACAACCTCTAGACTCTCATGAAGAGCCATCAATGTTTGGATATCTAAACCCTCAAAATCCTAACCCCATACCCTAATCTAGTGATCATTGTCTTCTTTTTCTAGCGGTGGTGCGTGGGAGCTAGGATAGCGCGTTTCTTGACTTCTTCAGCGACGACGCATGGGAGCTAGATTCGCGCGTTAGATTTTGCAAAAAAAAAGGAAAAGAAACTAATAAAGAAGATCTACGAGTAGTAAGAAAACTTCACATTTTTTTTATAAATATGCTCAAAAAAGTATCTTAAATATGAAATATGAAGGAAAACAAATGATAGTACAAAAGGACAACATGACACAAAACAACCTCTAAAAAAAAGAGTACATCAAACATCAGTTCGGTCATCTTCTTCCTTCGATCATCCACTGCAATAGTAAAGCTTAAAGATCGCACTGAAAAAACATAAAAGCGAACACCCTCTCCAAACAAGACTTTGAAAACCGTAAAAACCAATCGTTGCTGGCAACGATATCCACATGATTACATCATACGGGCATTGTAACGCAAGTGTTTGTTACAATGATGTAGGACTTTTATTCTGCCTAAGAAGTCGTAGCCCTCAAAAGGCCCAAAACAAAGGCATGTCTACCGTGTGGCAACGAAGCCACAACATGTTTGGGCAAAGACAATCGGAGCTAAAGCCCATCTATGGCCATATGTGCCATACAGAGAATAGAAGCAGGACGTGTTTAAAACAGCAGAAGACGATCCGCACCGGACTCATACATCGAAGATCGATCATGGCTGGCTGATCACGGAGAGCCCAGATCCTCGTAGCTTTTCCTCCACGATGTCATCGAACCTCCTCGCCATCTCCAGCGTCATGTGCGCCTTCCAATCCCCGACCTCCCCCTTCCGGAAGAAGGCCGAATTCTTGATCGACAAATGGTCGTTCCGGTGCATCCCGTCCCGGTTGGCCTCAACGCTCCTCATCTTGTCTATGCTGCACAGCTCCACAATCGCCACTGGCACGCCTCTCTCTGCCTCCTCGTCGGTGAACGGGCAGCCGAGGAACGCCGCTGGCGCCTCACGCTCCCCACAGCGTCCTTCTTCAGGTCCTCGTACCGGAGGAACATCACCTCCTCCGGGCGCGCCATGCTCTCCTTCCAGTACTCGGCCATGTTGTCCCACACCGGCCCGAATGGTGACACGCCGTCGCAGAACAGGTCGAACGCCTCGGCGAATGGCGTCAAGGCAGATCCCTCTGGCTTGATCTTGTCGACGTAGTGACGGAGCGAGACAAAAGCGTCCTTGGGGTCTCGGCACAGATAGACGACGCGGCACTTGGACTCCCGCACCGACGCTGGCAGGGCCGTGAACGGCGCGTGCACAGCCAGGACGCGCGGCGACGGCATCTCTTCGAGGAGCGGGCCGGGCGACGCCGAGCGGTGGTTCTCGTAGACGGAGTGCAGGAACGGGACCACGTCATGTGGGCTGGAGGCGAGGAGCGGGTGCCGGACTTGGGAGTGGTGGCGAGGATGATGTCGGTCGGGCGGGCGACGAACGTGTCCCGCATCGCCAGAGTCGGCGCCAGCAGGTGCTCCGGGTACCAGAAGCCTTGGTACTTCCGGTACGGGGAGCTCCCGAGGCCCTGTTGGGATGCTGGGAGGGACGACGCCAATTCCTCGTACTTGGAGAAGGCGTTTGCGCATCCATTCTCGCCGGCGACCATCTTGCCGCGGACGCCGTGAGTCGTCTATGTGGCTGTAGCTCTACTACTATATTATACTAGGACGATACGCGCGCTTCGCCGCGCGCGCAGATAACTTACGCGCTGATGCCTGTGGCGTACTGGCGGTGCTTCCTCTTACATGCGCATGCTGTCAATGCCAGGCTATGTGTACATAATATACTTAATTAATTCTCATATCATCTTACATGATCATGAGGCGTTGTAACTTATATATTAAAAAAAGGTGCCAATTATGCATTATGTTTAGAATAAAACGTGAACATATCTTAAGATGGCAGCTGCTAGAACGTGACTGCTAGTATGGTTTTGTTTGTCCAATCCTTGGATCAGCAATATGCAAACAAACAGGATCAATGGCCGGCCATGAGGCCATCATATCTGTTACTGGTTGCAGACCAAATACCATCGTGATTAGTAAATGTGAGCCACAACGCTTTTATCTTTGCGTCAATAACATATTTGTTAATCTGAATCGAATGAAGAGGTAATTTCAAATGGTAGATCAAGGAGGCAATGCCTTAGAAATGGGAAAAGAAACAAATGTTGCCATGCATAAATAACATGAGGGGTAGTGAATTTGGATGGTTCTGTGACCCTGATGCTCTGGTCCCTTTTGCTAGCACTTTCCATGCGGCTGGACCATACAATGTAGTTAGAGCGACTCGTTCAACACAGCTGTCAAGGGCGCGATGCGTGAAGATGTCAACACAATAGGAAGAAAATGAATAGTTACATTTTTCTTATGACATGGAAAGCACCAACATGAGGAAGTTCAGGATTTGCATACCATTTGCATGTTGTCGATCCCTGAAGTGCCAATTTTCTTAAGCGTGTCAGCGGTACACAAATCCATACAAAATTAGACTATCAGAGATAATTGACAGCAATTATGTTTAAAAGGGGATGAAGTAATTACCATCAAACATGTGGTCGTCACGCCTCAGGGCATTTGTCAACAAACAGAAGGAACTCCCCTGCAGATTTGATGGACCTCATGAGCTATTGCCTGTTGACGACATCGAGTACTCCACCATGGACCCCATGAGCTATTGCCCCCGAAGAGTACAACTTCATGGATGCACAATGTCCTCCGCAAGGAATAGGGACTGCCGGACTGGAGCGATTTAGTAACTAAAATAAGTAAATAACTATTACGTAACAGCTGTTGTTTGTTGAGCATCCTGTAACGAAGGTAAACCATCAAGATATGGTGGTTTCCAAGTCAAAATTGAATTGGTCTTGAAAAGCATATTGTGCTAAAGTATGAAACCGATTAAGTCAAGAAAAATAATGTCAGTTAGATCCCCATAGCATCAGAGGTCTGAAAATATTCACATATTTGAATGCACATAGGCAGAGATTGGTTGGCATAATACCATATACACCTACTGGAGCAAAGATAAATTATGGTAAGCACGCAACATACCACACCTACTACTTCTATATTCTTGCTGTTAAACATCTCTCTTCCTGTCTATTTTCCCGATGCAAGCAATTTTCTGCAAGGCAAAACCACTACTTACATTTTGCATGAACGTAACAAAAGATTCGGTAGCATAATATATCATCTAAAATTAGAGAAATCTTAACACATGAAAGCCATGGGAAAAATATATTAAAGGCATAAGCTTTACACCTCGGTTCACAGAACACATGGGCCTTGTTTAGATCCCATCAAAATTCCTAAATTTTTTTACTCTCTCTCCATCACATCAATTTTTAGACACATACATGGAGCATTAAATGTAGGTAAAAAAAATTATTAATTGTACAGTTTGGTTGTAAATCACGAGACGAATCTTTTGAGCCTAGTTAATCCATGATCGGACAAAATTTGTCAAATACAAACGAAACGTGCTACAGTGTCCGAATTGTAAAAATTTACAATTACAAGGCCATGGTTCTAATTGAATTCCATTGTTCGGTTGACATGACGCATAGCAAGCCGGAGGCGCGAGTGCATGTCACATCTGTACTGAGTGACGGGTGAAGCAGTGAGCTCGACGTAGCGCGGCACCCACAAGCGGCTTGCACGGCCTGGCACGCCGAACATATGTACATACTTAAGGCACTGTGTGTCAAAGACATTTGCACGTTTTGAACTGCAATTAATATTTAGAGCCTAAGATCCTGTTTGGCAGGGATTCACCAGCTCCAGATTCACTATTTTCAGCTCCACTCCACCAAAAATTTTCCAAACACCCTAGATCCACCAAATTCAAATCCACCAAAACGGTGGATCTAGAGACCAGATTCACCAAATTGGTGGAGCTCCTCAGGGGGTGCTCCACGAATAGGTGTTTCGTACCTCCTCGTGAAGTTGGATAAAAATTACCCACCTTTGCCACTAGTTACACACCCCTTATCCTTACCGATTCGATTATTTCCTTTCTTCCCCACCTCACTGGATACGACGCCCTTCTACTCGCGCCTCGCGTCCTCCTCTTCCGTCAGCGCCCGGGAGGGCGCACCACTCCATCCCTCCCTCCATCCCTCCACTCCAGCGAGCCCTCCATGGCCGGATTCGGTAGATCCGGTCCTGCTCGACCTCATGCACCTCCTTCTTCGTCCACATCCATGGGAAAGACCGCACCTAGGGTTGGGCTCTCTCGTCAGGTACAGGGCGCGGCCACCGGAGCTCCTCCTCCCGGCGTCGCGGACATGCCCCCTTCGGCCGGCCTTCAACCCGCCTCTGGCCACCGGGGCAGGAGCATGGCCGGCGGCCGACCCCGCCATGGCCGGCGCTCAGGCAGGCGCGGGCGGCCTCCAGACCGCCATGGACGGCGCCCACCAGCATGCCTTGGCTGCCCAACAAGCCTTCCTGGCCGCCAATGGCCCCTACTAAATTGGCCAGAAAGCCATGGGCGCCTGGGGTGTGGCCACCGGGTCAAGCGGTGGTAGTTCGTCGCAAGAAGAATCAAGACGCCAGCGCTCGTCGACCAACAAGAGGGCAAAAGAAGATGAGGTATAAATTTGTCTTTCAATTTTGTGCAACAATTGTACAAAGGTCTTTGGGAAATCTTGATTTGGGTGATCAAATACTTGTGGGAAATTAATGTCGGGGTGATGCTATGGATCGGACCGATGGTTATACCGCAATTGTTTGTAAGTTTTTTGCCGAGCAAGTTAGAAAAGGAAATCGGCCGAACACACATTTGAACGATGTAGGCTTTATCGAGGTATCTGATAGGTTTTTTCAGTCCACCGGAATAATGTTGAGTAAAATGCAACTAAAGAACAAATGGGACAAGTTGAGAAGGGATTATGGTAATTGGAGGAAATTAATGAGGAAGCAAACGGGGGTTGGGTTCAATTGGAATACAGGAACTGTCAACATGGATCCCGAGTGGTGGAAGAAGATAACAAAGGTCAGTTTTATTTGTTATGCTATGTACATTTTTATTTCTGCAACTTAGAAATTTATGTGTGTGTGTGGGCATTATCTACTGCTTCAAGGAACAATAGCAGCTTCGAACTAAATGCATGAGTAAAATAGAGAACAAAACCACAGATAACAAAATGTCCTGTGAAAACAGAAATATCAAATCAATTTCTCGAAAGACATACTTACCAGTCGAATATTCCCTGTGTCCAAAGCAACTTTACTGTAATTTTCCCAGATTTCCCAGCTATTCCTCCTACAAATAATATATTGTTAATTTAACGTAACAAAGCATTGCCATGCCAAAGCATGACATGGTAGTTGACTCCACACTCAAGTTGTCATGCCAACACATGATATGATATTTGTCCATACCACTCCATGTGCACTGACCAAGTAGATACAAATTCTACCGAAAAATCAATGTGAAATGACCATCCATATACCTATTAAATGTCATGATACAACCATTTCTATTCTGTCGAAGCATTTAATTAAGGGTAGAGAGTGGAACTGATATGGCTGGGATGTTGGCTTTATTCATCTGACTAGACTAACAATGATGGCAGGGGAACGAGCCTGATCCTAGGATATGATAAATTAATAATTAGTTGATGTTAAGGTATAATAGTCAAAGGGTATTAGTGCAATCTCCTATGCCTCTTAGTGCAATCTGCTATGTACATTTTTATTTCTGCAACTTAGAAATTTTTTTTATTTTGGACGTTCTCATATGTTTTAGGAAATTAGTGGTGTTGGCAAGTTCAAGAAGAAGCCTATCCAAAATGAAGACGACTTGAAGGTGATGTTTGGAAACATTGTTAATGAGGAGCAAGATCATTGGAATCCTATGAGTTCCAACCCCATCATACCCCTTGATGATGACACTCCAACTGATGGTGTAGAGGCTTGAGCACCCCAATCGAGCACCACACCGTCGAGCACACATTTTGATGGTGACAACAACTCTTTTGAAAATGGAGATGATGTTCAGGAGGTCACTCCCATCACGCACAATGGTAAGAAAAAGGCTAAGGTTATTTTGGAGAAGCCCACCAAGAAACCTAAGAGTAGCACAGCCCTTGTTATCCAAGAGCACATCTCAAAGATTTCTGAGTCTGCATCTTCTTTTGTGTCTAAAAGGCAAGGTGGGATCACCATTGAGCAAGTTATGGAACATGTTGTGGCATGTGGGGCTGCATATAAGACCGATGAGCATTTTGTGGCAACTGAGTTGTTTGTGAAGAAAGAGCAAAGAGAAATGTTCATGACCCTCCCCA